CTTTCAGTAATTCCTCATTAATTATGATGCTCACAGATTTTTTTTTGGTATATATTCTTCATCAGATTAAGAACATTCCATTATACTCCTGTTTGCTAAAATTTTTTATTATAAATGGATGTGCAATTTTATCAAATGCTTTTATTTTAATCTATGAGATAATACTATAATTTTTATTTTTTGTGTTAATTAATGTGATTAATTATATTTCATTCATTTTCAGACAATATAATAAATCATCTTTGCATTTATCGAATAAAATACACTTGGTTGTAATGTTTTATACACTACTGGGTTTGATTTACTGGTGTTTAGGACTTCTAATCTATATTCATGAGAGACACAGGTTTGTTACATTCCTTTCTTGTAGAGTTCTTATCAGGTTTTGGGATCCAGGTTATTCTAGTTTCATAAAACAAGTTGGCAAGTATTCCTACCTACCCTACCCTTTCCTATTACTAGGAGGGGTTTAGGTAAGACTGATGTTGTTTCTCCCTTCAATATTATGAAGAATTCACCAGTGAATCTTCTCTGTCCACATTTCTTTCCAGAAGGATTTTAAATTTCAGATTCAATTGGTTTGATAGATAAGAAACTATTTAGATATTCTATTTCTTTTTGTGTCATTTAAATAATTTTTAAAAGAAATTTTACTACTTGATCTTTTAAAATTTGCATAAAGTTGTTCATATCTTATTATTTTAGTCCAAATATCTTTCCATTTCTAGTATTCAGAGTTAAAAATTTATCAGTTTTATTCATCCTTTGTAAAGAACCAACTATTGATGGTGTTGATTTTTCTCTGATGTAAGCCTATTTTCAATTTATTAATTCTTGCGCTTATTTTTATCTTTTTCTTTCTTTTTCTTTCTTTGAATTCATTTGCTACTTCCTAAAGTTTTGAGTTGAATATTTAGATCGTTGAGTTTTCACTTTCTTGGTTATTTATGGTTATAAATTTTCTATAAGGTAATAAAGGAGATATAGTACATATAATAGGATTATGATAGAAGGCAGAAAATGGTAAGTGTGATAAGTCTAAATATATAAATCTGAGAGAAAAGGTTATTTTTAGCTCAGAAAATGAGGGGAAGATTTGTGAAAGTGGCAGTAGTTACTGGATCCAAAAGAAATACAGAATAATTCCGAAATAAGCTGGCAGCCTAAACCATTAAGTAAATGCCCCTTCCAGATTTCAACCTAGGTCACCCGGCTTCAAAACCATTGTGACTGAATGCTATGCTACACTATTTTTATTTAACTGAAAATTACATTGCATATTGTGATATAGTGTATACCTACACTGATTTTCACATCATATAATTCTTTTAACCTATAAATTTGATCAATTTTTATCTAATAACATAATAACCCGAAAAAACATCAAATTGCTACAAAATGGATCTATTTAAACTAGTTTAAAGCAAAGTTTACCTTGATTCTACTGGGAAAGGTTCATAAAGAAATTTTTTATAAAAGTCTTTCTTTATGTCATGAACCAGAATTACAGCTTTGCCTTGGTCATCAAACTGAGGCCTCCCAGCACGTCCCATCATCTGGAGGACATCTAAAAAAGAGAAAGGAAGAGGCATTCTTCAGCGTCACACATTGCAAAAGGTATAGTAACTGATTATGACATACTTGTTTGATACAATAAAATAACCAAAGAAACAATATTTTAAGAGCATGTATGAGATTTCTGATGGCTACTATTGGGTCTTTCATTTATAAATTTCTGAGTGAATTATATTTACGTGAAATTTATAATTAAGTAAGCAAGTTACTATGATGGAAACTTGAGTTCCCTAAAAGGTATCTTTTAACATTCATAAGAGAAAGATTAAAATTTTCTTCAGTTAAATGCTTTAAAATAATTTAATAGATACTATTATTTTCATTAAATAAGAAAAAATAAAG